ATAAAGAGGATGAAATGCTGAACATTACCCTCGCTTAGAGTATGCAGGTCCAATTTTTAGTTTCTGAGACATTTTAATCCATATATTCCACAAAACTCTTTATTATTTGGTTTTCGAAATTATTTTTTTCACCTTTTCGCCTCTATAAAATGGCGTCGCGTTAAGATGATAAGATACAATTTTGAATATTAGGCCATTGCAGAGAGGATGAAATGCTGAACAATTTCCTTGCATGGAGTATGCATGTCCGATTTTTAGTTTCTGAGATATTTTAATCATAAGATATTCACATTTTCATTTTCATTAAAATATCCCTCGATGTTTGACAGTGACATTTTAATGGATACTATTATGTGTAAATAACAATTTATCCATTATTCATTTTTAATTTTGTCTTCCTGGCATCAATTAACTTATGTTTTATGCATTGTAGCGTATCACTATTTTTATCCCGTTATTAAACATATAGATTTGTTGAAATTGTATAAAATCATTTCTACAAATAAGTGATCAATACAATCACTACTCTCACAAACAATATCTACAAATACAATTATCAATAATACTCTCTGAGTGTTCTGATACAGGCTGACAATTGGTTCAAGATCACAAAGTAGATGGAATCCTGAGTAATATTGAATAATCGAAAATAAAGACCCCAGTATCAGATGGGAAGGGGGAGGGAGCACTTTCTGATCCTTCTAAATTTAATGAAGGGGGCCAGAGTTTCATTGCCTTTACAATACTTCACAATCATTTGCTTGAAAAACCAATCACAAAAGAGTTCAATAAACAATACAAGTAATAATTATATATTGCAAGTAATAAAATGATGACTAGATTACTTTATGTTTGTCGTTATAACCTCCCCAATATTTCTTAAGGGGCGGTGTTAAGAGTTGAAAGTAGCCGAATATTAAAAATCAAGTTCACGTGCAATAACAAGCATGTTCTCACATGTTGAGATTAGGTTACACTACTTGCCTTTCAAAGGAAGGATTAATTGATGGTTATTAAAATTAATACTACTTTTGTAAGATTTCGAATAGCGGATACTCTCTTAAGAGTTGACGAAACTTCAAAAGATCCTTTTCAGTTGAGGCCGGATACTTATCAAATAGGATTCCTTCTCAATAGAAGTATATGAAAAGGATCCATTTCCACCGATAAAAGACCCTTGCTAAGACCACGAAATGAAAAATTGAAAAAGTTTTTTTAGAGAGTTTGTTTATTTCTTGAGCGAACATGAGTCGATAGTCGTTAACTAATTAAGTGTCCAAGTTGTAAAAAATTTAATTAGCACTTTTAATAGAATTTCCAATGATTTTTATTTTTAATGCTCGAAAATAAAAAACTTCGGAGATCAGTCGCCTCCTTCTACTTTCTGATACAACCGACTACTTTATGAATTCTATTAACATGTGATCCTGAGATCAACCATCGTGTGTAGTAGCTCTTCACAACTACTACCAAATTATGTATTTATAATACATACATAAGATAAAAAGATAATTAATACATAATGAATCAGTCTCATTTTATATTTGGATTGCAACTTACAGGCATGGGGCAGACTTCGGAAGGAGGGGGCAAAGGACCGATCGCCTCCCACCAATAAAAATAAAAAAGGGGCGAGAATATCGTTTCGTATCGGGGAGAATTGAGAGTTCATCTCACTGACATTTAAATAAAAATATGAAACATATTCAACTGCTTCTTTAACAAGTTTTCAAATATATCCGTATATAAAAAATAAAATAAAACTAGGGCGTGTGCTTCAGACCACAGCATAGAAGTGAAAACATCAACAAAGCGAGATTAATAATATGAAATATAAATTATAAAAAATAGCTCATTATGAAGAGAATGAAATGCTGAACATCCCTTACAGTGTATACAAATCCGATATTTATTTTCTGATATATTTTAATCCATATGTTCCATAAAACTCGTTATCATTTGGTTTTCGACACTGTATTTTCCTTTTCTCAATTCTGAGACGCCGTTGCGTTAATATACAGTTTTGAATAACAACCCCTTACATAGAAGATGAAATTCTGAACAATTCCTTCGCTCACAGTATGCAGATCCAATTTTTAATATCTGAGAAATTTTAATCCATATCTTACTATTTGCTTTTCGATACCATGTTTAGCCTTTTCGCCTCTCTAACACGGCGTCGCGTTATGACACGATTTTGAATAATAGCTCACTACAAAGAGGATTAAATGATGAACATTTCCTTCGCTAAGAATATGCAGTTTCGGTTTTTAGTTTTTGAGATATTCTAATCCATATGCAAAAACACTTAAATTATTCGACTCCAACCGACTTTACCCGAGCGTTACACATCGGAGATCTGACGGCTCAATCTCATTCCAAAAGTGCAAAACGCGCCTAAAGAAGTCTTCACTAATATATAAACATTTATTTATATATATATTGCCATATATTCTTTATTATAATAATCATGTTAATTATTACTCATAATTTGTATACATAATATAAGCTTCCTAAACTTTTTTGGCGGGTTTCATGGTCCCCTCCTCCAACCAGAATGGAAAGTCTGCAACTAACAGGTGTCGTATCATATTGTTGTTGCGCAACTAACGTCGAGTATGCCTCACGGCATTGTCTTGGTTGCCTTGGCGTTATTTAGGCCTATGTCATATTGATATTATCTCCTTTGTTTTTTCTACTCGCGTATACGTGTTAGCTCACAACAGATTTCTATATTTCATTGGAAATCTGAAACACTGACTACATTTGTCTATGGAAAATATAATCATTTAAAATTAAATTAAAGTATTTATCTTAAACAGAATAATAAAAGAAACATATCTAATCTTTTGTGTTATACTATAATTGATACTGAAGTGCAACAATCGGTTATAAATTACATATTTTGGAACCAAAACGTTAGTTAACCGTTAAAACACCCTTTCATCTTATACCATTAGCGAACGCTCTTGAAATCCTTAAAATATAAAAATGATATTTTATATAATCCAATACTCATTTTCCTTGTTCAATGAGCTCTTTTCCTTATTTAACAACTCAGTAGAATCAATAAACAATGAGGAAGTTAAGTTTATGGCAAAGATTGGCACTGTAACAAATATGTTATAATTTTGAACTAATTTGTGTTAAACATTTTATAAATATCTTTTTAATCTACCTGTGTTTAAAACTTCTGCTAAATTGCTTACCTTTAGTATAAAATAGGACTTATAATTAATTTTTTCTTTTATGTTATAAGCACTTTCTGTACTGATTTTACAACGACTAACTTATCTTGGTAAAGGACAAGAGTAATACAAATATATTTTGAGTTTTGTTTTTTAAATTATTATTTATTGAAAAATTGTAAAATAATATAATGTTCCATTGATAGTTCGCCAATCATTGACGTACGCCGGAGAGGATGGATTCATGTTTCCCGAACTTTACTTGAAATAAGTTAAAACGTTAATAAAAGTTCTTTGAAATCGGAATATCGTAAACAAAATTTAAGAAAGTTTTTTTTTTCAAAATGATACTGGAGATTCCAATTGTTTTCATCTTTATCACAGTTTTTTACAAATATTTGATCCATGATAAAAATTCGATAATATAAGTGCTTCCTCTTCTCCAAAAAAAAAAAAAAGATAGCACCTGTGCCTTCCATGTTATCTACCATTGGTATTTTTAAAATACATTACTAGGATTGATGATAGTTCCAGTTTTGATAATATTGCCTAGCAGCTATCTTAACTATTGGTAAATATTTGTATGGCTCCCTATCAAATATTCTAGTAAAAAGTGTTAAAACGTATTTAAAAAATGTCACAAAACCTATATATTCATAATTCATTATTTATAACTACAGAATTTCGAATCAACACTAAAATGTGAATGTCCTTACCTATCAGCATGAGATAAGTCTGTGAATAACAGGTGTAGGAATTTTTTTTAAAAATAAGAGTTAAAAAATGGAAGGAGATTTGTTGAACTTTAAAAAAAAAAAACTTTGCTGAAGGAGTCCTTAATGAATTGAAGTTAATTGATAAGTTTCAACTTCCGAATGAAATTCCAGCTATCGCAGTTGAATTAAAGCATAGTATTGTGTTTAAGAAGCTTTAATGAGCCAAACCTTTTAAAACTTTTTCAGGTTTAACATCCATCTTTCTTTAATTACATTATTGCTTTAATTTATATGTTTTCCTTTTATCTTCTTTTTCCTTATAATATTAGATTTTTCGGAAATGTGTTATGTCATTGTTAGTCAGACTAATGACTATCGATAGACTTTTCAATAGTGACAACTATGGGCACTTTCCTAAACTCAGTACTGAGCTGGCATCGTTTAATCTAGTTTAAAGATAAATCCGATACTTGACTTATCCTAGGTAGTTCTGGTGGACCAAGCCATATTCATAAATTACTTTCTTTAAATACAAACTACTGATTAAAAGAAATATTTTCTTTGGAATCATGATTAATTAAATAATTAAACAATTTTTTCAGTTTCTATTTTTTATTTTTTTTTTTGTTATTTTAAAGCAAATTAGAATTTCTATATAATATTGAAATCATATAATTTTATGTATTATTGAAAACTTAAGGTAAATAATAATCTATTTTTTATGTTTATCAGTGAAATTTTAAATGAATTCCACACCATGGTAAAATAAGGTATCTTATAAAAAAATGTATAACCCTAAATATACCAAATCAAAATAAAAAAATAACAAAAAACTGAAAATTTTTTCATTGACATAAAGATATAAATGTTGACATAAAGGTTTGCTCATAATTTACCATGTTAATAAAACTTGATTAGAAAGAAACTACCAAAATGAAGTTTTATTTTTTTTTTAATTTTTATTTTATTTTTTTTATAGTTATTGGTTCAATTATAATATAACTTTGATGTGAGCCAAACAGTGGTACACTGCTAGTTTTAAAATAATTTCATTTTAAAAGCAAATCAAAGCTCACTTAAAATTTTATTGTTTCAGTCATCGGAATCAGATATGAGCGATAAATATTCCACTTATGAAGAGATGAAAGAAAAACTTCGAATGAGACAAGATGAAATTTTTAAACTTCAAGCAGCTAATTCTGATGTAAGTTTTTTTTTTTCAATTATTTATTCAAATTATTCAGTAACAAAAGAGGTATTTAATTATTTTAATTTCTTTTAACAGCTTACTCAAGTAAATAAAAGGTGGCATAGGTACAATAGTGACATGCAAATGTTCATAGAAAAATTACAAACTACTATTAGAGATCAACAAGAACAAATCAACAGGATATTGTCTTCTGAAGAAAGAGTCCCTGCTGCTCGGGTGAGTAATTTAAAGATTAACTAATTTTTTTATGAAGATAATCATTTAAATCATTTAATTATACGCACAGGAAAAATTTATTTAAAAAATTAGTTTCCTGTGGCTCTTTAAGGATAATTATTTTCACCATTGTTTATGTATATTAGATGAATATGTTATATAACAGGTATTATATTTATATTATATAATATCTACAAATTTAAATTCTAAATTTAAACTTTGAACAGCATATTCAAATCCCAGACTCTCTAAGAAATTGTTCAAAACGTTTTAATTTCTGGAATGTTTACTGAAACCTTATGGGTATAAACAAGTAGCTACATGAGTAAAATATGTGATCTGTTCGCTCTAACAACTTTCCTTACTGCTTTAGGTACAAAGTTCAATATAAGTATTATTTGACCTATCTTCACTAACATTGACCCCATTGAAATGTTTTATTATTATTTTTTCTTCATTCCATGTTCGTTCCATGAAATGTATAGTTTTCAACATTATTAGAAATAATTACAAAAAATGACTGGAAACCTGTGCAAAATAAAATACTGTTAAAATATAGGTACAAAGTTCGATGACTCAGTCTTTGCTAATACATGTCTGATTTTTCTATGAAATTATCGGTAAATAAATAATAAAAAAAAATTATTTTATTACTTTTAATATATACTACGTAACTTTGTAGTAAATTCTATACATAATAATTTGAAAATTAATAAAATTTCCTTTATTGCAAACAATTGGAACAAGTTTTTCAATTCACTTTTTTGGTTATACAACATAGAATTTTCTTTTCATCCTTATTTGTTTCCACTTTTTTTTTTTTAAATGCACTATTTCAGACTGTTTAAAGGGCTTTAAGAATATGGTTTTGGGGAAGTATCATCATCTATATTAGTTTATTGGAAACAAAGATTTTTGTTCAGGTGCCCAATTAGGTTCACATGCACCAAGAGATAAAACACTAAAAACCAAAAAATTTCTGTTATAGATATTAAAACCTAGTTACATGAATATATAACTGATCTCTAAATTTTTTTTTCCTTGAATTAACACCTATGAAGCAACTTAGGATGTTTTATAGAATATGTACACCAGTTACTTATCAGTAACTATATCCATGATTATCAAGTATCATATATGAAAAAAAAAATTAATTATTTTACATATAAATTACCAAAACAAGAAACATTTACTATAAAATTTATAATTAAAGGGATGTTAAAAAAAAAATCAACATTGTGGTATTTATGCCTCCAGATTAGCTTGTACAAATATGATTCATACTTCTTCATATAGAATAAATTAAAAACGATCCGGCATATTACTCTTGATGATTCTTGATTACATTATTTTTTAATCCCTGACAATCATATTAGTTACTGAAAAGTAACTGGTATAACTATTTTATAAAATACCTACTACTTCATGTAACATTCCATTTTGCTCTAAGTTTTAAATTTAATTTTTACATAAATATATATCCAGGTTTCTGATTTTTTTTTTCTTCTATCCATTCTTCACAATCAGATCAGATCCCTAGTTAAGTTATATAAGCGTTTCATTATTATACAAAAAAAATTAATATTTTATAATATTAGCAGGAAACTGGTGAATGTACGAGGAAATCTTGCAGTGCTACGAGAGATGAAGTAAAGAAACTAAGAGAAAAAGTGAAACATCTTGAGCTTCAGGTAAAATCACACAAGGAAGATTGGGAGGCAGAAAGAGCTGAAAAGAAATCAATTTCTGAAGCAAAGGATGAATTAGAAAGAAGGTTTTCTGCAGCTTTACGAGATCTTTACTCAGCCAAGGTAGGAATAGCTCATTATTGAAAACTTTATTTATTTTTTAACTATAAAAAATATTATAATCATGATTACTACATTATAGTATAATAACTTGTAAGAATTAGCAAATTCAGTATTTTAACATTAACACGCCCGCTAGGGGCGCTACTGATCTGTGAAATCCAAAGTAGAGACTGTAATAAAAAATCTGATGTACCTGTCTGCTCGCACAAATTTCCTTGCTTGGTTAAATTTTTTTCTCATTAATTTAATTTTTTAAACTAGCTTTGTTGACTGTTAACTTATCTTTGAAATGTTTAGACAGTTATAGTTTTTGAATTATTTGAAAAACTACTTGATTAAAATAGATATTCACCTTCAGTTGTCTAGATAGATTCCATGGGGAATTGTGAAAAGTACTTTTAAAAAGTTGGATAAAAATTGCTATACATTGTATTTTTCTTAATACAAGAAATTTTTTTATTTTATTTTTATTCTGTTGGAAATTTAGTTACCTTTTAAACAACTACGTATATAATTCACCATAAAATTTATGGTTTTTGGGTTATTCACAAATAAAATTTTCTTTTTATTCTAACTTTATTTTCCTATTTTTTCTTCACTATGTAGGAAGAATACTTTAGGCCAATTTCATCGACATATTATTCCTGTTTTGGTGCTGGAGTGCACATAGTGACCAAAAACTCAACAAACAAAAAATAAATTAATAAGAAACGAAATCAGTCCATCTCTTCAAGAGATAATCATAGCATTGGTGCTGAAACAGACGAGTGGCCGAAAATGGGTTTTTTGGAATTAGGGAGCTCTGAAATACATGAATCCTTTGAAAATACAGATAGGAATTATTAATTGATTTCTATACTTTTTTGACTTAAATGGTAAAGAATGGAAAAAAAAAAAAAAATTTAAAGTTAAGGAAAGTTAATAGCAAATAATTAAAATCAAAATTTCGCATTTATCATACTAGTATTGCAGTAAAAATAATTCTAATAAAATTTAATAAGTTCTTCTAGAATAAAATGAATTTATTTGTTATTCTTTTTATTCAAGAAATCTCGAGAAGAGGAATCTGAAGCCTCCAGCAGTTGCCCTATGTGTAGAAGTTATCAAGTAACACCTAGTAATAGAAGTGACCTCCAGACAGTCATTCATTGTAATCATGTAAGTTTATTCTTTATTCTTTATAAATTATTATAAAGTTTCTTACCTTATCTGATGATGCATATTTAACTAGATAGTATTGGCTCTCGTATAAAACTATGTAAATGGCTTATATGATGGTTAAATGAGTAAAACGTTGAATAAAATGATTATATCAAATGAAGTAATAATTTAATTTCTAAAATGAATTGTTGCCTAAAAAAATTGTTTATTTCATGTTACCTAGATTGCCGTGACCCAGAAAAATTTAATGAAGTATTTCAATGTTTAAATCTATTGATATAAATAAACTTTTTAACTGTTTTTTTTTTATTTTTCATAATATTTAATAATACAAAATCTTCATAATGGCGCTAATTTTAATCAATTCATGTGTTTTGGCTTCAGATCCCTCAATTAGGATGCAGGCAAAGAGATGTTCTGTTTGGAAACGTTGTGTGCGACTCGAGCGATGACAGAGATACAGTGGTAACTGGAACCTCTTCAGTGGTGACTGGGACATCAGGAGTGGCAGCTTCACGTTCCCTTGGTACTTTGTCTGTTGGCATAAAATCATCTTCATTCATACCAGTTGCCAGATCACCTTCTGCGCCCTCTACGACACATTCTGAAACTGAAGATGACATTAGCTGCCCTTCCTGCGATAGAGTATTTTCTTCAAGAGTTCATCTCGAATTTCTAGATCATTTTGAATCATGTCAGGGCCATAGAAACGGCCCCGACTAAGTAAGTTTGTTTAGATTTTATTTTTTATGTATTACTTTCAATGTTGCATGGTATATTATTTTTTTAATGGAAAAATAATTTAAATTACTTTTACAGTTATTAAAATGTAATTATGGTATTAATTTACTGTGTAAGAATTGATCCTAGCTCAAGCGATGTATACAACATTTATAATACCCTGATGATATTGTTGTCCTATTGTTAAGTTTTATTGAACTATAAAAAATTAATGCTCTTATATTAGTTGTTTTTAAGTTACAGAGCACAAAAATAATAGATTTCTTGGTTTGACAAAGAATAATACTCTAGTCCAACTAAATGCCAGCATTACTTGGTGGGTGCCTTGAATAACATGTAAAAATTACAATAAAAACAAAAAAACATTTTTTAGTTAGTTAGGGCACAATAGCTAGATAAAATGTAGGATTTTTAAATTCATATATCCAAGATTAAGCATATAAATGTAAATATATTGCAATTAATAGTAATTATACATCATTAAATTTCTTATTTTAAAATAAGTATTTATATTTACAATTGTTGACTTTCTATCTTAAGTAATGTATTATTTCTATTATTATTTTTTTTTTTGTTTCAGGTTTCTAGTTGTGACATTGGTTAATTCATACTTATTGCAGTTGAGAAGGAATGATATTCTGCTACCTCTCAACTTAATATTCGGTTGGAGGTTAAATTTTAACCAAGAGATTGATGTAAAGGAAGGAAACATTCATTTACTTTCATTAATAATAGTTGAAATAACAATATATTTATGATATTTATTTAATGTTATTTTATTATTATTATTGTTATTTTTTGAGTTACAATCTAGATCAATTGAATATTTTGTATTTCAAGGATGGAAATACTGTGTTTGTTTATACTTTTTAAAATGTATTTAAAGTTGAAGTATTTTTTTTTTAATACATGTATTTCTGCTATTTAAAAAATAATAATAAAATTAGATTGTTGATGAAGTGATTGTTAAAATTAATTAAAAGTTGTAATTTATATTATACAAAAATATGGATTATCTCTAATTTAGATATTGATGTTTAAATGAATAAATAATGTTCAATGACCTAAATAATTTATATCCTGTGTCATACCTGCCACCCATTTACTAATAATTTTTTTTTCTTATAATTGAATTATATATTGTTTTTCTTGGAGATTAATGTTCTTATTAAGTAACTTATTAAGTCTATTATTCATATTTCTAAAATTAATAATGTTGTGTTTTGTTTCATCACTTTCAGGATTTAAAATCGATAATGTTTTTTTCAAAAAATCATGTAATAATTATTTCAGTTTTAATTTTAAAATCGTGCCTGATTTTTAAACAAAAACTTAAATAGATCTTCGATATTTATTGATTTCATTAAAAATAATGATCACTCACTGAGTGATACAGTATTAAATAAATAATGATGATTAAATTGTGATTAAAAAAATGTTGATCAGAAAATAATAATTACCTTTTACACACAAATGAATATATTAATATGAATGTATACATTATTAATGTACACATTTTTTAATGTTATATTTCTGAAATCGCTTTAATTTTGCATGCGGTAACTGGGACGAGGGCTTTTTCAGCAGTGAAGTACATGTTTAGCGACATAAGTTCTCATTTGACACCTGAGCACTTATAAAAAATTCTTATTTTAAAATTAAACTCGTCCAGCTTCATGCAGTTTTGATGTATATATATTATGTAAGCCAAAATTTCTTATAAATTTTGGAAATAAAGGATGTTCTGTTGCTAATAGTTGACTATAATACTCTCCACCTACTACACCAGACTCAAAATATATCACAGAGATTATACAAAAAACTTAAATTTTTGATTTATAAAAGAATTTCTCAAAATTATTATCTTTGTTAATTGCAAAAAAATTAGTTGAAAAATAATAATCAGGATATGATTTTTATCACTTATGATGAAAAATAAAAATCGCTCTAAATAAACATCATCACATGATTTTTAAAAATTCCACATTCAAATTTTGTCGAATTTTATTTTTATTTATATTTTTTCAATTATCGACTTCAATCCCTCATTACTTTCCTCACAGTTTTGGGTACAAAGCATCAAAAATTGTTTAGTGTCTCTAATAACTGTCCAATTAAGTTTTTTTTTTTTAAATTTAAATATATATCAAGAATATTCTGATGAATGTTTAATTTTTGAGTTAATCACAAAAAAAAAAGCAAAAGTGTAATTGGTCAGTGCCTAAAAGGAGAGAAGCTAAAAGAGTTTGTAGGCAGAAGAAGAGAGCACAGGAAAAAGAAAAACTTGAAAAGTTGCAGGACACCTTGGAAAAGAAAGAAGCAAGAAAATTTTACTAAGGAGTAAAGGACATAAAAAAAAGGAGTCAATGCCAGAACTGGATTATGCAGATGGAAAGAAGGAGATCTGATTGGGGAAAAGTCCGAACATTCCCAAACGGTTGAATCAGTACTTTAGTACTTAACAAAAAACCACTAAAAAACATCTGGAGAGAGTAGTAACTTAAATACACTCCTGTGTGAAGCAGAAGAAGTAGGAGCTCTGGAGAAGGAAGAAATAATTAACATCATTCTATCAATGATGAATCATAAGTCGCTAGGTCTTCCGGAGATGTTAAAACATGGTGTCAGTGGTCTGTGGGAGGAAATTTATGACTTAATTTGGGAGATACGGATGGAAGAAAAAATGTCTGAAGATTGGACAAGAGCAACAATATGTACAAGAGACAAGCTAGTAGGTGAAAATTACGCAGGCTATTAAGTACAACGTATAAAATATTGGCAGTACTCTTACTTAAACGACTGACAGATTTCACTGAAAAAATCATAGGAGAATATCAGGGAGACTTTAGGCCATAAGATCAACAGTTGATCACATATTCTGATAATAGAAAAATGTTATGAATTTAACATAGACCTACACCTTCTCTTTGTGGATTTCAAAAAGGTGTACGACAGTGTAGACAGAAAGGGACTTTTGAAATGGATTGAGACAGGTTGATCCTCTATCTCCCCTTCTTTTTATCCTAGCTCTGTGAGTGGCTTCTATCTATTCTCCTTGAAGTTCTATTCGAACAAATCCAGGAGGAATGATCTACAATTGTATGTTTCAACATCTGGCATATGCCGATGATGTCGTCATTATCTCTAAAACCCAAGCAGCATTATCAGGAACTTTCCAGGTATTCGAAGAAGCAGCAGCTAAACTAGGCCTTAGAGTTAATGGAAATAAGATAGAGTACATGAATAATTAAAAAATGGAAAATGAAATGAGCACAGAAATAGCTTTAAGTGATCACAACTTTAGGTCTGTCAGCCAGTTCAAGTACCTTGGAAGCCTGGTCACATGCAATAATAAAATAGAGAGTGAAATAAACTGCAGGATTGTAGCAGAAAATAAATGCTATTTCTCACGCAAAGAAACTTGAAGTTAAGATCACTCTCTAAAAGAATCAAAATTCTCATGTACAAAACCATAGTAAGGCCAGTGGTTATGTATGGGTGTGAGACTTGGACCTTAATCAAAAACTCGGAATGCATGCTCAACTCCTGGGAGAGGAAGGTATTGAGAAGAAAGAACATGGGGTGGAATCTTGAGAATGGAATTTGGAGAAGAAGAAAGAATGAGAAGCTGAGGGAGCTCTATGGTGAACCTTATATTGTGGCATTGATAAATAGAGCCAGAATCAGATGGTTAGGTCATGTGGAAAGAATGCCAAAGAGGATACTGTATGAGAAGCCAGATGGCAAAAGAAGTAGAGGGCACCCTCAGATCAGATGACTGGAGGATGTTGAGGACGGTCTGAGGCGGCTGGGCATTCAAAGATGGAGGAAAGTAGCACAAGAACATGGAGATTGGTTGGCTGTAGTGGAGGAGGCCCGGGTTCTTGCAGGACCATAGCTTCATAATAATAACAATAATGGTCCAATTAAGATTTTTTTTTTAATTTAAGTATATATCAAGGAATGTTAAATTTTTTAGTTAATCATAAAAAAATGGATGTGGTCAGTGACGGCCCTATGGAAGGACAACCCAGAAAATCCACCTCATTTGTTAGTGTTTTATCTATTTGTCTTGACTTCAATTTTATAAATACTGGAAGAGAATTCATCTCTTACCTAAAATTTACTAATATAAAATATCAAATGAGTCTGAAGGTGCTCCAACCATGGTTTCGTAAAAAAAAAAATACAGCCATAAATCGTATGCTGCAAATTTTCTAAAATTTAAATGAAACTCGACCACTTATAGGTTAGGGAAAAAGTAATGTAATTTCATAAATATATCTTTGTTTTGAAGAGCATATCATACAATAATACTAAGCATGGATTCTGGGCGGATCTAATGAGAATTAATATTTTTATTATCCTTCAGTCCACAACTAATAATAGAAGCTAATTGAAATAATAGAAGGGTACTGAACTGTTCCCTTAATTTTAAGAGAGAAGGTCAATTTTGATTATATCAGCAGCTGCTCGGACTCTACATGATCACAACTGTTGGAATCTCAATACTGGTATGGTTAAAAAGCCTTCATGAAGGAGATTTTTTCTCCATTCAAGACTAGGATAACATAAATTCAACTTGGTTGCCTAATTTAATCTATCTCAAGTTTGTTATTGTTTGTGTAATAAATGATGGAGTTGATTTAATCATTAGAGTATTTTTATTCTCTCTCAGCTACAAGTAAGGACACAAAAAATATTACAATTATGTATCAAAATACTTGTGTATTTTAAACATTGACTTATTGTAAGAAATTAGATTTGTTATGTGGATAGTTTTAATGTTATCCTTCTTATTAACTTCTAGGCTAACCTGATATCTTTTAATAATTAAAATGGAATCGATTTTTAAAATGATATTTTCTACAATTCATGCCTTAACAATTACTAATGATTATGAGTGCTCACTTCACAGAGGTGATAGAGATCCTAAGAGACATCTAAAAGAAAATGTGCAGTAAAAAAATCAGATTTTTTTAATGGGTTTAGATCTTAAAATATTAAGTTGATATTGTAACAATATTTTGAACCAATTTGATGAAGTTGAATTTATTTGACTAATTTATCATAACTTAAAAATTTCTAATGATATATACATGATTTAATTTTAAAAATTATTGCTCAGTTCTTAACAGTATTCACAGTCAGTATTTTATTATTATCATTTTTTTTATGTATATATATATATATATATATATATATATATACATAAAAAAAAAATATATATATATATATATATATATTAATAAGCTTATATTAGCATTTCCATAAATTAAAAGAAAGTAGTCCACATCACAACAGAAATATGAACATTCATGAATTTCTAAAATTTAAAACATTTAAGAAACATATTTAGTAACTAAATATTTGGTTAGATATCTTTGATTCAATAAAAAAAAGGAAAAAGTTTAATGTCCTTAGATACTGCAACCAGGAGCAGGAAGTTAACCTCATGTAACGAACCCATTCTTGAAAGATTGATATGATTAAGATTCACCACAATATAAATTTCAACTAGCTGGTTTACAATTTGTGTTAGGTATGTAAATAATAAATTGGATATTAATAAAACATTTATTTAAAATTTGATTCATATCTTAAAGGTTGAATAACTTAAATCAATACAAACTTTAAGCTTTTTTTATACAAATATTTCTAGCTTAAATGTAAGTAAAAGAATTATTCATAAAAAATAATTCTCCTTACAAATAAAATATAATTTACAGAAATCCTTAAAATTAATAAAACTACCCTTATTTCTGGAAGATATAAGGTTCATTATTACTAAATAGTGTATAAAAATGTTTTTATGTATAAATAATCATATAAGAAACATAAATATATTTTACAACAAATTTGAACATATATACAAATATTTAAATGAAAAGTGCTGCATTTTTTAAATTCTGGCGTATTAAAATTTATTTTTATAAATAATAAATAATTATTTTAACATAAATAGCAACAACTTTAATTACATACATATATAACAATTCATTTAATGTTTTCAAGCTTATTATTTTAAAAAGAATTTTTTATTCAGACTGTATCAATAATATATTTAAAAATATACAATACATAAAATACAAATAATAAGAAATTAATTTTACTTAATACAGACAGAATCAACAAAACATGTTATACTTTAACTTCAATTGTGAAAAAATGCAAATTATTAATTCTTGTCAGAAATTGGTAACATTTAATTTATTGAAATGAAGTTTTCAGAGTATGAGCTAGGTATATATAAGTCTTTCTTCAGAACTATAAATCTTAGTACATTCCTGATACCAAGAATATCTTTTAAGTCACTTGATATACAAAATTAAAAATAATATTGAGCATTTCTCAGAAAAAAAATAAGACTCTTTAGGGGTTTGGATATTTCAAGTCCATGTTCCATGCATTTGGTGGTAGAGATGCGACAGCTATTTTGTTTGTAATGGTCGTAAGTACCTTGTTAATGAGACCAAACTTTGCCTGAAATTCAGATCATTTTTAATCAGTAATCAGTTAATTATTAAATTTCACTAATTTTACTAAAAGATGATCTACTTCAATATACTTTTTATTTTCTCTTTATATTTTATCCTCTTTCAATTGTATTATGTTTTATTTCATCATTAGCCTTAATGGATGATGACCTTTTAACAGACTTTTTGCTATATTTTTTTTTTATCTATAAATGAAAATCTCTTATTCAAAAGTGACATATAAACTTACAGAAATCTACTTAATAAGTTTAATATCGATTTCTAAATATGGTTTAAGCAAAAGAGCTATCAGATAAAACAGTATTCATTATATTAGTGGAAGAAAAAAAAATATGGCAAACCAGTTGGTTAACAGGTTATCAGATGACACCATCAAAATATTTTTTTACTTGTTTGCAAAAATGTATTAAATGAAACTGTTTTACATTTTCCTCCAACCAATGTTACTTTATTTATCATTATATTTTTATGCATATATTCTATATAAAAAAAAATCATTTGAGAATTGATAAAAGCATGAAATAAATACCTGAAATTAAGCTTCTTTATAAAGTGTATTATTTGAATATATTTAAAAATAACTATAAACTAAATTGCTACAGATGGAAGCTGATAAAAACCAAACCAGTTATTAGCAGAAGCTAAATCTAAAAATCTAAGCATATGTTATTCTATACCTATGTAAGTATTGTTCATGCACATCTAATTAAAATATAATTATTATTGAAACAAATATTGAGATTTTAACTATAAAGATTTTCTGTATATAGAATAAAATTTCATTATATTTAAAAAATATATTTTATAACCAAAAATGTAGACAATCACTTTAACTAGATTAGCAATAGATTCGGAATGAAGAAACTATATATTTACAAATTTAAGTAAGAAAATGTGAAAAAAAAAACATACATTAAACGTAATTTAATTTCTGGCCAACAAAAAATAATTATTTTCTTACAGAGTACTGGATACATATACAGGTGCTGAGTCTTTTTCAAATATTCATTTAAAAAATCTACTATTAAAAAAATAATTTTTACAATATGATAGTATTATTTATACATGGTTTAAAATATATCAGACCAAATAAATAGTAAACAATTGTTTTTTGCTGACTATTTTTTTTTTTTCAGCCCTAATAAAATTCTTCCAACCATAAAATTAAATTGTAATTATTTTTAGTGAGCCTGTGTGTGTACCAAATATTTATATAACAACAATGAATTTTTATGTTGTTGATTATATAAAAATGTCCACACATTTTTTTTAAAGGAACCTTTTTCAAGCTCCATACACAGATATTTGGTTGTATATGTTTCTTTATACAGAATTAGTCTACATAAATAAAGGTCATATTTACAATAAATACTTTCTTATATTCTAAGAAATGGTTAATATGCCTAAGGGATTAACATGCAATATTAATAGAAATCATACTTGGTTTAAATACAGTACTAAAGTTTTAATGTTAGTATAGCTATATTGTACTATTAAACATTAATGAGCAATCAGTTAGTTTACATTTATATAAGTTACCATTAGTAGAATAATATTACAACAAAAAGTATGATCACAAATTTGTTTGAACGAAAATATTTTATATTTATATTTAATCGATATTTACATTAAATAAAAAAACATTTGAGAATCTTAATTTTCCCTCATTGATTGATAAAAGCATTATCAATTTAAAATTATTGTGCTTAAATAATTATTAATCTAAAAAGAAGTTTATTGTAATGTAGCATCTTTAAAAATTAAATTAATATCTTTAAAGCATTAAATAAATTATGGAATCGTTACTTTTTCAATTTCAAAAAAAGTATTTCAGTAGTCAACAACATTGCCTGATTTTTTTTTTTTTTTTTAAATAAATCCAATCTATGTTTTATTATAGGATTAATGATAAATAAATAAATTGTTAAAACTCTAAACAACTTGAAAATTTCTCTGATACTGAAATCATTTTTATGAAAATATGTGATTTTGAGATGGCTAATTGTTTAACCACAATATTTTTTAATTGTTGATGCCAATGATCAATGTATGTACAAAAATTAAGGTGTTAAAATATCTTTTTTTATGCACTGTCGGTAAATTGTTACATCGTTTAATGAACTTCAGGGAATATATTATTAAACCTAAATTTTAATACAGTGACATAGATATTCTTATCATACATAAGAAAGATATGATCATACTTGGTGGAGATTTCTACTATTGTACCGATTATGGTTATTTAACTCACCCTCATAAGTAGGTTGATTTTATCCCCAACCAGTGCAATTTTAGCACCTTTGATTTGACCCTGTGAAATGGAAAATAAAAATAACATATGTTCAGTGAAACAACAGTGCTATACTTTTGGGTCTGGTGTCTTGATAGTGTAGTAAAGTGGTGCCTTTATCTTTATCATATTACATTTCCTTACCTGAGTTATTGGTGAAGGCCACTAGTTTAACTTATTGCTTCCTTTTACTGTTGCTATTTTCCTAATTCAGAAGAGGAAGTTTCATATTAAAAGACAACAGGAGATTTTATAAAACTGCTGTTCTTTTTAAAATAATTATTGCAGATAATTGAATGATTTTTTTCATTTTTTATTTCTCATATTTACAGATAATATATGTTATAGATTTTTATCAATTAATTTAGTGCCATGTATCAATAAAGTATTTTTGGCTCTTTTCTACTTTAAGCACACCAGTGTTTTTTACCCTATCTTTTTCCCTCTCTAGCATGGCGTCTCTTTAAGATACAATTTTGAATAATATCTCATTACAAAGATGGTCTCCCTTGAGTTCAGCATGCAGATTTGATTTTTAGTTTCTGAATTAATTTCATATCTTCCATAAAACTCGTTATCACTTGGTTTGCAAACGTCTTCCCCCTTTTTTTTTCTCTAACATGGTATTGCAATAAGATGAAATTTTGAATAAAGCTCACTACAAAGAGAATGAAATGCTGAACACTTCCTTCGTTTTAAGTATAAAGGTCCGATTTTTAGTTTCTGAAATATTTTAGTCCATATCTTCAATAAAATAGGTTATCAGTTGGTTTCCGACACTATTTTTCTCTTTTCGCCTCTCTAACATGGTATTGTGTTAAGATAAAATTTTTAATAAAGATCTTTGAAAATAAGATCAAATTTTGAACATTTCCCTTGCTTACAGTATGCTGGTCTGATTTTTAGTTTCTGAGATATTTTAATCCAATTGCAAAAAAACTTCAAAAATTCACTGGCGTCTTTAAAGTAGAAAAGAGTCCTGTGTTTGAATAATTTTGTTCGTACGTTAGATTGTTGATACTTTATCATTTTTTAATATTATATTATTTTATTCAAATATATTGAATATGAAATTGCAGGGGCAATTATTTGCTGTTAGAGATATATAATTATATGGTATAAATTTTAGTATCTATTTAATTCAATTTTGATAGTATTATGAATTCTCATTTGATATTAAAACATAATTGTTCGAAATTGTATTGTTCATGTAATTTCAAAATTAACAAAATCTTTTTACTGTTATGGATAATTATTAGCTTTAAAAAACAAGTCAAAGGAAAGGCATCATTTGATATAAAGCATATGCTGGAAAAAAAATTGAAAATAAAGAATATTATTTATAAACCTATCCCAGAAATAGTTAAAGAAATATCATCAAAATGTTCAATAAAATTTAAATTCAACCAACTTGTGTTTTATGGGCTAATTTATTTCTGTTTGAAGAATAAAAACAGTATACTACGTGAAAAGACTTTAGTTTGTATTATATAATTTCCATTGATTTCTTTTAACTGTTTCTGAGATAAAAATAAATTATTATCATGTATATACATTAATTATTTACAGTACTGATAGCCAGTAATAGTGCAAGATTCAGAAAAATAAAATTTTGAACTTTGATACAGGAATCTTATAGTATATCTGCAGTCACAAGGAACAGAGTTGAAAGTTAAAAAATGAAATAAATTATTGTTATAATGTTAAGAAGGTTTTCACTGCTGTAAAAAATTTTAGAGAAGATATTTTAACATCGGATCAGTAGGACATCTTGAGACTCTTTATCATAAGAATTATGGATGAATGAATTAGATAAAAAGAGATAACCCAACAGTATAACATCAAAGAATAGAGCTAACAGTTATCAAAAACCCATAAGGGTTTGCCTTGAGAAAATACTTTCCCATGGTCCAGTCTTGACAGCAAAAACTTCTGAACTTTTGAGTCTTGCATGACCATATAGGGAATAAATTTGGCAAGGTGATTAATATCAATGCAAAGTTGATACCCATATGCATCTAGTAACCTTCATTGAGTTTGAGGAAATTGGGAACATATTTCGTATGAAGACAGCCTATATGCTCAAAAAACTTTCTCTGAAAGAAAAACTTTCTCTTCTTGATTGAAGAAGAGAATTGCATGATGAAGGGTTTCAGTGCCTGTGGAAAATAGCAGTGGGACCCGAGCATTCACCTTTGGAACCACAGTAGGAGGCAGGAGTGGTAGAACGGATCCTTGATGAATGAAGGTGAAGAGAAGGGAAATGTTCATGATTTGACTTTAGTTCTGTAAACATTTATTAGTAGAGGTAATTTGATGACCATAAAATAACAAAAAGCCTAAATCCTAAGAATTTATAAGCCTGCTAATAATAACAATCGGGAAATTGGACTCCTATGAAACTCTTTTTCAAATATGTCATTTAGTCCTCTTTCTTCAATCTAGTGACCATGGAAAAACTTTTAAGCCTGTTTCAACCTTTTTTTATAAGTTGCGGCCTTTTTTATAGTTCTTGTGAGATCTAGTTATGCAGACGTTCAAGTGAAACTCATGCTAATGTTGATAACGCATCTATGGTGCTCCCCATCAGAAACCCATGTTGCCAAAAGGCAAAAATAAATTATTAAGGTGTGAATAAATTATTTGATTTTTTATCATAAAAGTTTAGTTTTCTAAAACAGGCTTTACATAGTAATACAAATGTTAGAAAGTACCACAGTAAATAGTTGCAATTGCAGATTTATTTACCCATTATTCTCAGTGATTACAGACATAAATTTATACAACAAAAAGAAACAAATTTATTTCTTATATGAATACTTTAATCAAGCTTAGGATTTTGCTACTGGCTATTAGCATAACTTAAAATTTTAACATTAATTTTATTGATGAAAGCGGAATATATCTTTGTGCTAGGAAATTAATGCGTCAGTTGGGATAATCTCATAGAATATGATTAAAGTGAAAAGATTGAATGTACAAATGCGTTTGGAGTCTGTAAAAAAGCTGAGAACACACCATTCTTTGCTTATATATACAAGCAGCTTATATTAATTATTTACAACAAAAAAAAAATATCTAAAGTGATTTGATGGTTCAAAATATTTCTTTATTTTTTCTTCTTATTAATACTCATTCTAGTAACAATTTTATTCTTCATATTACAGTTAGGAAAAATTAATTTGTGCCAAATAAGATAACAATTTAATTTATTTCTTTAAGCAAAGGGAACATAGTTCCCTTTATGAAATACTTTTGAAGCTCTATCTTCCTTAGTTCACTTATATTATAGTCATCGATTTATTGCAAAAAGTCAATAAGTTAACTTTTAATGGAGCTAAACTTATAAGTTTTTTTTTTAGTTTTATGATTACTTATCAAAGAAAAAGCATATTAACCTCTTCAATATCATCCTATTATACATTCCCAATAATTTCAAGTGCACAATGTTCTGATTTCACAAAGAAAAAACATTTTAAAATATTCGATGATTTCATTTTATTCAATGTTAATGAATTTTTGCAATAAACCAACGATATATATAAATATGTATATATTTTTTATTATTTTTGTTATCACTGGCACAACATTAAATAGAATATGTTTATAGAATAGATAACTGTCTATTGTTTTTATCAAAAAAATGTTATCAATAATCTTCTAGTGCTCTAAGTTATTTGTCAGTTAAAATATAAATTCAAAATTTAAGGTTGTAAATTTAAAAATTAATAAACAATTTTCACAAAACTTTTTATATTGTGTTCTTTAAAACAGTTAAATTTGGACGAAACTTACGATTACTCCTGCTCCTCCACCTGATTGGTCTCCATCTACTGCAACACCACCTCCGCCTCCTGCTCCACCTCCTACTCCTGGTTTGCTAGAGCTAGATAAACTTAGAATACTTCCAAGGCCACTGCCGCCGCCATCACCTCCACCTCCAGACTAAAGAGTGAAATTGGTAAGAATAAAACATAAACATTATAATCTATATAATAATTTTTTCAGAATGTTTTAAATTTATGCCCATAGAAGTTCAAAAGATAATTATATATCTTTATATTATATCAAAAGTTAGAGAAAAATCTGGTTCTATACCACCATAATTGAGAACAATTGTTCAGAATATGAGGGATGATACCCTTAAAGTTTGAATGTTTAGTTTTTTAAACAAATAAAATAAACCTAAGGAGGAAGGCTTGTTCGCAAAGAAAAAAAAAATTGAATTAATTGAAATAGACTTCTCACGAAACTCAAAAGATATAATAGATTTTATATCACAATATTAATTTATTCTACTAATTTCAAAGGAAAAATCACATCTTATCATAAAGATTCATAACAGAATCGATGTATTTTAGAAAATAAGGATATTAATCTTAAATTTAAATAAATTGAAAATCGGTAGGATTGCTGAGATTACAATCTATACTTAATAATTTCAAGATTTTCTCTAAAATTAAATTGACATTAAAATAAAAATTAAAAGTTACATTGAAAAATAAAATATATTATGAGCAATGTTATGCAGAAATATCCAATATATAAAATAATAAAAACCCTAGTAATTACATCGTTTGAATATTGGTTAAACTAAAATGTAAGTATAATAAATCAAATTTTCAAATAAATACATTTTTTATTTTAAACTGAGTTTATTTTCATGTAAAAACTTTCATTTTAAATTGATTCTTGAGAGTTAGTAGGTTTCTGCATAACAGTGTATGGTTGTAATAATTTAAATATTTTTTTAAAAAAAAATCAAACAAATGTTAGAACTACATAAAATCGATAAATACTTGTGCTTAGTGCTACACACTTAAACTACTGGTGTTTTATCATACCTGAATAGTATAATAACAAAACAAACTATAAATATATTCAAAATAACTCAGTGCAATGTTTTATGATACCATAAATAAATTTATATAAATATTGGACTAAGTGCTTTAAGATAATTCTATTATTTTTTTTTCTCAAAGAAGTGATTAAATCCACTCATATTGACTCACCTTTTGTGTTATACATTTGCTTGAATTTAAAGGGCCTCCTGATGAATAATATTAATAATCATATATATAAGCCATTAAATACACATTTGTAAGCACTTAAACTGTTTTAACTTATTAATAGTTGTTTTGAATGTTGAAACAGTCAATGGTATCATATTATGCTTACCATAATGTCAATTAAAATAAAAAATAAAACCATTTTCTACTTTTAAATACCTCACCTACAAACATTTTTCTTTCTTTTTAATAATATATATATAATAATACCTAATAATGAAATAAAAAAATCAATCAGCCAAAGCTGAGATTTAATTACATATTATAATAGTTTATCATAATTTATTTTTTAATATTAGATTTCAGTATGATTGTTCCAATTATATAATGTGCAAAATATAGAATATTTTTTTTATTATTCAGTAGATTTAAAATATAAAAATAAATATCCAAATCATATACGGTATTACAAAAAGAATGATTGATTTCGAAATAAATAAAACTTCTAAGATTGTTAGCATATTATTATTTTTTTTAAATTTACATATATGATTTTTTCAATTTATCCATGAAGCCATCACTTACTAGTGGATTGTAGGACTTAAAAAAGAAAGAAGAAAAAGACCAAATTAAAATATATTATTTTCCATTTAGTTTGGAATGGAATGGTATTAATTTAAACAAAATTAAAACACGAATGACGAAGTAAAACATGAAAATTTTTTGCGAATATTACACTGCTTTCTAACATCTTAAATAAAATTTGTATTAATATTAAACAGATTTAAATATATTAAATTTCAATTTTTTATAAATATTTTTAGATATGCCTGAAGATGGTGTGACAGACAAAATTATTTTGAATAAAACATCTACTGGAACTTCAAATTAGCCTAAATAATTTCAATATTTAAAAAGATTTTTCATATAAAACCTAAAATCCATGAATTGACATTTTATTTATCAACTTTAAGTAAAAAGTAATTATCTGGAAAATTATTTGAAAAGTAAAGAAGATGCATTCTTTGAAGCAGTTCATATTTTATGAATTTATATTTTTGTATGAAATGTTATTGTTTTTAGAAAATGCATTTTTTTTTTTTTTTTTACTTTCAATTATGGAGAAATCTTAAATTTTTTGTTAGAAATACTCACACTTGATGAGGAAGATATGAGAGGAAGGATAAGATTGAGAATGGAGCCTGAATCTGAACCTCCAGAGACTGAAGCTCCTCCATCAGTGGATCCTCCACCGCCACCCTAAAATCCTCTAAAGTTATTCTGGGAAAATGTATAAATTCATACATCTACCTTAATATGTCTATAGAATTAGATCTAGGAACATTTTTTTTTCCAAAACTATTTTGATTAAAGGGATTCATATAAAAATAGATAGAAGAATATAACTTCATTATTAGTTATTTAATAACTGTGCCAATTTAACTTATAAGTGTAAACTTACAGAACTAGAACCAAGAAGTGGTCCAACCAGTCCAAGGATAGAGCCAGAGCCAGATCCTCCAGAATTGCTAGATCCATCTCCTCCACTGCCGCCACCTCCCTAATATGTCAACAATCAAGCTACTTTCACTAGGAAAACAATACTGAGATTGTTTACTCAGTATTATATTCTACCACTATCATTGTCATGTCTGCTTGACATTAGACCTGTGATATATCAGTGATGTTTTGTATTAGGGATGGTTAAAATTGTTTTCTTCAAAACTTCTTCAATAGAAGAAATGAATATATTTTTTTTATTATTAGGAAAATGCATGTATCTTTATTAATAATACTTGATTTATTCGTTGTTCTAATTGATATATTAAACTTTTTTATTTAGAGCCAACAACTGAGCCAATTCAACTCATAAAAGAATTATAAACTCACAGAGCTAGAACCAAGAAGTGGTCCAACGAGTCCAAGGATGGAGCCAGAGTCAGATCCTGCAGCAGCGCTAGCCCCGTCTCCTCCACTTCCGCCGCCGCCTCCCTGGTATGTCAACAATCAAACTACTTTCACTATCAACTATTGTGCTATCTATTCTACCACTATTATTGTTATGCTGCTAGACATTCGGCCTGTGAGTCATCAGTTGTGCTGAGGGTTAGCTGCAAGCCTGAGAATGATATTTTGAATTCCTTACCGAAATGCCTAGCAATGGCTGGAGCAGTCCAAGAATGGAGCCAGAGTCCGAGCTTCCACCACCCTCTCCTCCACCTCCCTGCTCATGTTCAAAGACAGGATTGAAGCAGTATTCATTGATAGGAAAGGAAAGAGACATAAGGATAAAAGCAAGGATAACTCACACTGCTGGAGCCTAGGAGCGGCTGGAGCAGGCCCAATATAGATCCTGAATCTGAACTGCCACCACCTCCTCCATCATCACCACCTCCTCCCTGTTCGAGGTTAAGATGGAATAAAAGATTTAAGGATTATTGATGGTAGGAAAAGAGTTGCAAGGATAAAATATGGATAACTCACACTGCTGGAGCCTAGCAGTGGCTGAAGTAAGCCGAGAATCGATCCTGAATCAGAACTTCCACCACCTCCGCCATCATCACCACCTCCTCCCTGTTCAAGGTTAAGTAGGAATAAAAGCATTAAGGATTATTGATGGTAGGGAAAGAGTTGCAAGGATAAAATATGGTTAACTCACACTGCTGGAGCCTAGCAGTGGCTGAAGTAAGCCAAGAATCGATCCTGAATCAGAACTTCCACCACCTCCGCCATCATCACCACCTCCTCCCTACTCATTTTTTTTTTTATGGATTCAAGGAATAATTAAAATATATACAAAGGAATATTTAGGATAAAGGAATGTTTCACTCACGCTGCTGGAGCCTAAAAGTGGCTGCAGGAGCCCAAGTATGGCTCCAGAGTCGGAACTACCTCCTCCACCATCCTCACCCCCTCCTCCCTACTCATGAGGAAATGTAATGGATAAGTGGTTGGAAAATAATAAAAATAAATAAAAGGCATAATAGTAATAAAACTCACACTGCTGGAGCCAAGCAATGGCTGGAGCAGCCCGAGAATTGATCCAGAATCAGAACTGCCACCACCTCCACCTTCTTCGTCACCTCCTCCTCCCTAATTTTTCCAGTCATTTTTTTTTTTTTTTTTTTTACATTTAAATTACAATTATTTACATTTGATTATAATTTGAAATGAATGAAGGAAATTAAATCCATGCTCATGCTTTCACCTCGTGCGATTTCAAAAATCACAAGGCAAAAGATTTTCTTTTAAAATGGGTTTCTTGTAAATTTGTATTTGCAAAAATGATTTCAATCTTGTTTTACAATCCAAGAAATTTGGTCTAAAAAGGCAGGACAATATATTGCAGGTACGATTAAGCATGGGATGGGTAGTTTGAAACATTAAATGTATTTTATTAATATCTTTAAATCGATGAGTATGTATAATTGTTCATAAAACTTAATAATACAATCTATGATACCAATTTAAATAGATTTTTGAGAAATACCAATAAATGTTATTGTTTTGTACACTTAGCAATGTACCCAAATCAAAATTTTGATATTATCAAAAGTACAAAATAGAAATAGAAAACTTTGATTTACTGTTTAAATTAGTGGAGGTCATTTAATTTGTGAACATGAGCAGATGATTCCCTTATCTTTATAAAATTATAATACAATTACTTTTTAGTACGAAAAAGAAATTAAGTAAATAAAAAAAACCAACGCCTTTACTCTGGCAGATATAACCTGCACAACTCGAGTAGTGACTCCTGAACTGCGATAGAACATGGAAATGGAATAGTATGGGGTTTGGAACGGGTACTCTCAGCTTCTAATAACTTATATACACATTAAAGTTGTCTTAAAACAGCTCGTTTAACATGCAAAAGTTTCATTTACTACCCAAGTTATTTATTTACACCGTTTAATAAATGTCTTAAAACAAATAAATAACTGCCTATTTCCTTAATAGAAATGATATTACATATATACAATTATTCCTTTTAATTTCTTATAGCTCTTACGATATTGCCTGAATAGATATACATTTATTTGGCCGTTGTATTAAAATAACAAAAACACAAAGATTCTCTACTTGAGAGGAGTATTTTTGAGCTGGTAACTTAAAAGATTATTTGTGAAAATCCTCAAGAGCCCCATTGTTTCTAATATTTCTCTAAAATCTCTATTACACATTTTATGTCTTGCAGTTCTATTTAGAAAAAAACAAACTTTAATTAATTGTATTGCTTGATTAAATAGTTGTGAATTATTGCAACAGATTGTGGTTTGCTCAAAGAACTAAAGCCACAAAAAGATTGAGAAATGAAGGTGCAATTCAGATTGTGCTTTTTATATACATTTAACTCACACTGCTGGATCCTAAAAGAGGTTGCACTAGACCCAAGATGGCTCCAGAATCAGAACCTCCTCCGCCTTCTTCATCATCTCCGCCACCACCCTAGTCCATTAGAAGTAATAGCAATTGTTCAATTATTTAATTTTCTTCTTAATTTGAATCTCTCATAATATCAACAATTTACATTAAAATTATTTTCTAACACAGTTACTCACACTAATGGTGCCAAGAAGAGGTTGAATGAGTCCTAAAATAGCTCCCGAGTCAGAACCACCTCCTCCTCCCTCTTCATCGTCACCACCACCCCCCTGATCCAAATTCCAGAAGAAATTTATTATCAAATATTTACAAATGACTAATCATGACTCAAAGAAAATTTTCATATCTCGAAATCATACTGATACATCAAGGGATTATTTCACTGATTAATGCAGTATTTAATTATAGAAGTAGTTTGGAAAGAAATTGACAACATAAACTTTTTATAGTTGCCACATTCATCAGGACCAAATTATTCAAACTAAATGGCCACTAACATAGATTCTAAACAGAAAGTTGTTTTTACTAAAACAAAGTAAAAAATTTCTTGACTAATGAATCAGTGAGGATGAGCTGAGTGACAAAATAATGAAGACAAAGCAGCAATTATCTTAAATTAAATCAGATTTCTATTGGAAGTTAAATAAAAAAAAGGTTTTGATTATCAGGTTTTTCAATGTCGTGAATAGGACTTGAATATTTTTAACTCATGAAAATACTAATTTGGTAAAGGAAAAAAGAAAACAATAAATGATTTAGTGGCTACTTTTAAAATTCTCATGTTTACATTTAAATTGAATCATGTATCTAAAGAAATTTTTATTTAAAAATATAATAATTCGGTCTAATAAATTTGACTTCTTCTTCTATTAGTAAACAAATAATCTCTAGGTTAATTTTTGTATTGAATTTAAACACTTTCTCAATGTCTCCCTCCCAAATAAAATGGATAAATCAGGTTCTACTGTTTAATAAATCATAAGATTTTAATATGGTTTTTATTATTTACAATTATTCAGTTATTGATTCAATAAATGCACTTTCATATTAAAAATTGGTTAGAAAGAGTTTACAAATTTTACAGAATATGTATGTATTTCTTATAGATTTGGATGAATTTTAAGATGTTTTTTTATTTTTGATATTGCTGCTCTTTTTTATAAAAGAACAACATTTTCGGCTTACTTTAAACTTTGCTTTTTACTATAAAAAAATAAAACAAATGTTATCTGAAATTTATTAATTTTATCTTTTTTTCTTTTGCTGCTTAGTTTTGGCTATCCATCAAGCCTTTTTAAAACTTACACTGAGAGATCCAAGTAGTGGCTGAATAAGGCCAAGAATGGCACCGGAATCTGAGCCACCACCTCCTCCTTCTTCATCATCACCACCTCCCTAAGATCAAAGCACATCAGAATAGTTGCTAGACTAGAACTGTATTACAGTACAGCCGCCTCTGGTGATTAAGTGCTATTGACACTACTGTTATGGGGGTTAAGTACCAAAATAATGGGTTATTTTAAGTGCATATATTCATCATATAGTGTGAAGATTACTTTTATAAGTGGGAAATAACTATTAAAAATTATTCAGACAGACATTTGATCAATTATCTAAGGAAATAACTGAATTATTGAACTTAATTCAAGATTCAACCTGACGAAAATTAAATATTGCACCTATTTGACTGATTGGAAGGCTCTAATTAAATTTTTGAAAGATAATGTTTGATTATAATCAAACTAGGTAGTTTATGTTTCTTTAAATTTCATTTTACCATTCTTTATTAAATTAGCCAATATTGATGTTAGTATCATAGATCCGAAATAAATATTTTTTTAACTAATCTGGATACAAGTATTAAAATGGATGGCTACACAAAAAAAATTCTGATAATCTAGCAAAAGATAGAAAGGTATATTTGTGTTTTAAACAGATGTTTACATTCTTGGAGAATGAAATAGTGATCAAATTGAAAACGCAAGTGCATAATGAAGAAATAAATGGAAGAGAAGCATTGCATTCAATTGTATTTTATGAAAAAAGAACATCATTAATCCTAAGTTAATCTGTGAAGCAGAACTGAGTATATTTTTTGCCTTATTAAATTATTTTAAACTTTGAGAGGCATAAGTGACAGGAGTGGTGGAGTGGTTTTGTACATAAACATTATGACTAATCAAATTTTCAAGAGTGGTCTAGGAAGAAAGTAGTACATATTATTATATATATTAACCCTGAAGTGGGCAAGTGATTTTTTGTTAAATACCTAGGCCTATGAACGTACATGTGCTCCAAACAAAATAAAAATCATCTTAATTATTTTTCTACTATTTATGACAAATTATTTGTTTGTTAATTTTAAAATGAGGACCAAAAAATGGGGAACAAATATAGATCAACTATTTTGAAAAGCAATGTTGTAAGTGACTAACGGAAATGAGAGGTAAATTTTATGTTAACAATGTAAGCACATGATGAGGTATACAATGTTGAAGACTGCTGGGTGGCAACCCCACTCTTACTATGGGCTAGAAAGTTCCATTAGAAAATTCCCAAGTCTTATTGTTAAATTGTAATTTCAATAGAAGAAAGTACTGGATTAATATAACTACTTGATAATTTACAAGTAAGGATCTACTATCAAAAAAGAATAATTCCAAATTCTAGTTACTGATAGAATAAATTTTTTACAACTCCATCGGCATTCATTGTAAGTTTTGTGTTTTGCAATGTAAATAAACTATATAGTAAATATTTATTTTAACCATCTTAATAATCTTTTCAAAATGTAAATATTCCCTTTTGATGATAAGTTGGTTAATAAAACATAATTAAATATTATATGATTTTTTTTTCTGTTCCTTTTAAATGCAACAAAAAAAAAAAAAAATATTAGAAAAACATTCCAATAAGCAAAATACTAAAAATAAAATTTAAAAACAACCTTTTGATCTCAATAAATCAATTTAGAGCATCATTGAAAAGCAAAGATAATTACCATGAAATGATAAATCTTAAGACAAGTATTATCAAATAATGTTCTAACAATTATTTTATTCTAATTGACACTATTAAATAAAATAAATTTATGTGGATCACAGCGATCTTCTTAATAGGTTACAGACTATTTTTATATTGTTTTGTGAAGAGGCAGGAATGAGAACTAACATCATTTATCCTTTTCTGTTAAATACTGGGATTTTATAACTTCAATTTTTGAAGGGTTTTTCTTGATTGAAACTTAAAAACATTGCCTTAAGTTAAAGTCCATCTAGAACTTTGGATTAAAACAATCATAGAGCTTTTGAAAAATAAAGGAATTATTTCAATTTGTTAGTAGATTCCTAAAATGTGGTGTATTTTTTAAGCTATAAAGAAAAGATTTTAATTTTTAGTAATTTGTAAAAGAGTAGTCCAAACAGTGTATTAATTTTTTTGAAGATTCTTTTCAAAACTACATTCAAATTACTGAAGTGGTTTATATTATTAGTGCCAATGATGACAGTGAGAAAAAGAAACAAGGCGGCCATCTTCAAGAAGTTACTGAAGAAAGCTTACCCCACTGCTAGTGCCCAAGAGAGGCTGGATCAAGCCCAGTAAGGAACCTATATCTGATCCTCCGCCTCCATCTTCGCCCTCTCCGCCTCCCTGTCGGTCGCAGAAATTGGTTATGAGCTAGTAATGTAAGAATGGAATGGATAGGACATGGCAAGGAATGTAGTATGGATTTCTTTCTTCAAATCATTGTTATTTCTTCTCTAATTTCAATTGGAAAAATATCAATCTTATAAATTAATCATACTATGTGTCATCCATAAACTATAATCAAAACCTCTCTCAACAGATGAGATGAGGTTGACGACAATCCAAAGAATGGCTCAAATACAAATAACCAGTGCCAGTGGTTGATAGTCTTAGTGGGAGAGGTACCTCTAGACCTTCTACAAGTATAGAAGATGCATGGTTTAAAGAAAAAAGGCTCAGCGTATCTTCTAGAAAATCCCCAATGAATGATTGTGGGAATCCAATCTATGGAAAAGAATAATACAGGAGGACAATACTGACGGTGGGTAACTACTCTGAAAGGGTTCATCTCAAGAAAATAATTCTGTAAATCTATTGAGTTTTTGATGTCATGATTCCTCACAGAAAATAAGGTATTTCACTCCAATCTCCTAAAATTTAAGAGGTCATTTCTGCCCCTGTTTTGGTGTTCTGGAAACTGCTGGGTCTGGGTTTAATTACTGAGGGAAACTGAGCTCTATATCATCATAGATAACTCCCCGTACTACAAAGGATAGCATTGTTTAGATAATTGAGAAAAAAAGTGGTTTTCAGGATACCCCCTATGCTACATTTCATTTTATCTGATATATATACATATATACATTTTGGTAAAATTACTATATTACAGTTTAAATTCTAGTGGATTTATGTACAAAGGGATGGGATAAGCAATAAGCAGTATTTACATCAGCAAAAGAAGCACATAAATAAAAATATATATACTTACGATATATGTTGGCAATAAAGCTGATGACGTGTCCAATGAAAAGTTTTTCACCATCACCCTCCGAAAAAAGCGAACAAAGCAATAAGCTAACTAAAGAAAAGTAATACTTTCAACACCAAAAAACCTCGCATGTGGAGAATAGCAAGCTGGCGATTTGCATTTGTGAACAAGTGAAGTTGTATTCCTTGCTTAGAACTTAAAACTAGAGTTCACATTTTCAAGATTAGATTTTATTCAAAAATGCTGGCATGTTTTTAATGATTACATGCTGATTGTTCAAACAATGGGAATCAAATGGACTGAGAATATTAGTCAAAGTCATGATTAGAATTATATTGAATTTCAGTATTAAATTATGTTTAGAAGTTTAAAGTTAATAACATTTTATATTTAAAATATGTTCTGCTTCTATTTACATGTTAACCATTCTTATGGGAAAACATATAAAACATATTAGTTTCTTATACTAGCAAAAACATAGAAAACAAACAAAAAACTATATTATGCAGTGGTTACGGACGAATAACGTTCAACAAAAAATTACATTTTCAGTAGTGGGTTCAAATTTACAACAAGCTCTTCAAACTATATACTTCTTACTATTAAAAAGTAGCTTTATCCTCCATGAACCTTTCACTCTTGTTGAGTTCATTTAAGAATTAAATAGAACTTGAATTGAGACTGATGTTTTATATTATTGAAAATGATAAATACAGGAAGAGGTCTTCAATGACGTAAACAGCTCAAAAAAAAAAAAAAAAAAAAAAAAAACTTGCTGGGGTAGAGTTTTAAATTTATTTTCTTCCATGTAGAAGATGTCCTCTTTATGTAATTGGTTTTTTTTCAGAATTTTGAAATATTGACAGCCAATCCCTGTCGATGTCAATCATTTTTTCATTAATTTTTTATTTAATTTGCTGATACTTTTTTTTTTTATATTGGAAAGTATGTGAAGTGCCTCACTATGCCCATGTATATCTTTCTTTCCAGATAGCTTCTTCATGAAAGGAGGAAATTTAAATAAAAAAAAGAAAGAAATGATTTTGAATGAAGACAAACAATCATCAAATGCCAAAAAGGAATACAATACACAAAGGTACATCTTTCTACTCTTTGAAATAAATACCTCATCCAGCTGAAGAGTAATGTGTCTACAGAGCGCAAATAGAAGAAGTTCAACCTCATTACAGTATTCAATTTGAAAGCCAATATCAATTTATTATAATTGAAAAAATAAGTCAACGAAGAATATAAAAATAAATTTAGATTCCTTAAAAGCATAAAGAAATGAACCACAATGGAAAATCTGAGGTACCTAACAGACCCGATTAAATTGTGGACATGTTTGGTTAAGACACACAGACAGTTTAACAAGTATGCTTGTTAGTCCACATGAAGTTAGAGACAAATCAGAACCGCAACAGACATTACTCACGAAATCAGAAGACGATGTGGATAGTGGAAGTGAAATAGAGAGGATTGAACCAGAATCGTTCTCATCACCTCCCTGGTCTTCAATAGTCTGCATGAGAAATAAAAACAAAAGAAATATCTAAACTCTATCATCTGAAATTTACCCATAAATGTGATTTTTTTTGTTTCATATTCTACACTAGTAGATTGTTTATTTAAAATCGTAATAGTGCTATATATTTTTTTAAGATAAATTACTTATTTAAGATCAGAATCGTTTATTGTTGTAAACTACTATATTATTTATTTAAATTTAAGAAACATAAATATAATCTTTGGAATGAGAAACGTTAGATAATACGAAATAATTTCTGAGCTTCATCGAGAACAGTGCATTTCCTAGTATTTTTTAAAAAAATATTCCAGATTAACACAAATTATTCGGTTTAACAAAACTTATTCTAGGCACAAATATTTAATTAATATTTTTTTGTGATTCCTCACTTTCTTTAACTTCAATTTTCTAAACTCTAAACATTAAAGATACTAAGGATCAAGCAAATTCAGAAGGAAAGCCCAGGTATAAGTTGTTGTTTTTAATAATGGATTATAAGATTGATACCAAAATATCAAAATTTTTAGCTATTTTTTTCATATCATATCAATACATACTTCTTTTGAAATATGTTATTTGGTCTTCATACCGATATATCTGTGGTTAACTTTTATTTTTTATTACTTTGTTTTTAAATCATAGTTACTCGAGTACAAAACTATAGATAATACTACTTTAAAATTAAGTTTCATCTTATCACTAATTTTAAAATGAAGTTGAAACCTTTTTTTTAATGTATTTTACAGGAACATATCTTTAATGTTAAGAGTTTAGTAAAATTGAAGGTAAAGAAAGTGAGGAATTACAAAACAATTTTAACTAAATATTTGTACCTAGAATAAGTTTTCTTAAATCGAATAATTTGTGTTAACCTGCAAGATTTTAAAAAATATACTAGGAAATAAACTATTTTTGATGAAGCTGAGAAATTAGTTCGTGTTATCCAATGTTTCGCATTAAACAAATTCATGATAACGAGAGATTACTATGATTTGATGATAAAAAACATAAAACCCTGAGTTTCTAAAATATAAGTAAACAAAACTTCTAAGAAGATAAAAAATATAAGAATAAATAATGTTCATACATATGTAATCCCAACACTGCACATATCACATCAATAGTAAAAAAAATGCCTCAGTTGGAAACAGTACATCACTTCAAAACTTAGTATATGTTATATTTGGTCATTAAATTCTGATATTTTTCTGTCCTCGTGATGACTGAACTGGCAAACATTGTTGTGTTAGTTATTTACCAGTATTTTAGAGATTCAGGACTTTTTTTATTTTTGAAAATGTTCAAATATAACCTAATAATTATTTTTTGTCTGTTTTTGCTCTTTTATATTAATAATTTTCATCATCTTCTTATAACTCATAATCACCTTGTTTAACTGCATAAACAAATTTAAATAATATAATATCAACATTTGTTATATTAATATTTTTGAAAATCTGAAGGAATTGTGAAATATTTCAGTCTATCTGTATTATATATGTTTTATATTTTCTTTTAATATCATTCTCAGAAAAGTAGCATGTTATACCATATTTTGACCAGTATCAAGAAACATGCAAGATATCAACAAACATATCACTTCCACTGTAATGGTGGAGTATGGTATCACAAGCCATTGTGATGCCATTAGTTCAAGGATTACATGCATTGAAGAAAAATGTATGCCTTACAGTAACAAACATATCAGGTCATATGCAATATTTTCTGTAACAGTAAAATGATTTAAAGAATAATTGTTCTTATTTTAAATTAAATCTATACTGAGGCATTATTATATCAACCAAATATTTAATCAATTTTGCTCTTCTTCATACCACGTAACCAAAAGATAATTTTTAAAAGTGTTTCATTGAGAATTATTATAAATAATGTTTTTATAAATTTGTCACTATTTTATTTTTAATTTCTTCTTTGGCGCTGAACGAGGAAGATGATTGGGGCACCTTGTCCTCCTTGAATATATACTTGATTAATAAACTTAAATTTTACAGCGACTCAGAAAATCAATAATACTAACAGTATTTGTTTTTTTCACCACTTCGAAATCTCCCTCATACAATTAGTATTTGTATTTTACAGTAAGTGATAGTTTTTATGGTATATTAAAAAAAAAACGCATCTGCACGACACTACAATGCAAAAATACACTTTCCTTTGTCAATGATCTAAAAAATTCGTGACAAGCACTAAAAATTCCGAATGGTTGGTCACCTAAATATAGAGTGCTAAATGTTCTTATGTTTTCCTCAAATAATTTCCAAAAATAATATTATTTTTATTTTTTTGCTTTAGTATATGTTTCGAATTAGGGCAGAACTTTATATTTTTTTAATCTACACATTTTTGAAATTACTAACACTGTTACAATAAGATTTTACAAATTTATACTTTAATTAAATCCAAGATTTTTGATATAATAGTTTTATTTTGGGTGTTCCAAATATAAATTGGGTGTTCCAGGTATAATTTTAATAGAAAATAAACAGACATGAAAATAAAGTGTACTCTGTTTAGAAAAAAAATTGAAACTTGTAGTAAATAAATATATAGAATCATAATTAATTCATATTTAAATAAAAAATTATTTCTTATTATTTATTTCTAGCTAAGAATTTGAACAGACAGTGCGTTCCCCTTTTCCAACTTTACTTGATCCATCATTACAGTATATAAGAGTTGAATACAGACAAATATCAAGATAAATAAATAAAATGGAGAATTTTTTTAAAATTTATTAACAAAAACTTGTTTTGAGTTTTAAAGAAGTAAAAATTAGTGTAACCACTTTCGTTGGCGAACTTTTCATCATAAAATTACATAACTATGTAACCTGTGGGATAACTTAGAAGTTTAGACTAGTTCAGTCCCTGGGAATATTCAACTGTTTCCTTTTTTGTTCTTGGCATGACACCTGTGTCGTGTTAGTTTTTTAGAACAGTTTAATTTTAACTTTCTTATTTTTTTTCTCAAAAGATGTTAAATTATATAAATTAATAGCCTCAGTATTGTTCTGTAATATATTATAATTATTTCAACTTAATCAGTTTATATACTCACGCCACCACCGCTACTGCTGCCTAGCAACGGACCGACCAAGCTTAGGATTGAACCGGAGTCAGAACCAGCCGATGCACTCGCAGTCTATAAAAAATAATAAATAAAAAAAATCAACACATGGAAAACATAAGGAAATAGAAAATATCAAATTTCATTTGATTAACATGATTTAATATAGCTTAACGCATCAATAAATACTGTAAATGCCGAATTTGTCCTTTTGTAAATCAGAGTTAAACCTCGTTTATACAATGATAATTAATATTAGCAGTCATGACATGGTATGATACATGATAAGACTGCTGCATTATTAAGTTAAACTTGACATTTAACAGAACCTATCGCGGCAGTGACAGCTAATCTCATTTTAATTAACACATACCTAATCAAGTTAAGGTGTATGTTTCGATCATGTCTTAACAGGAAATTGGTTTTATTCAACGTTTTAATTCTTGGAAGAGTAATAAAATTTACTAAGCAGTTTAGTTGTTTTTAAATTTATTTAGTTTGATAAATTAATTTTTTTTTGGTACTTTTTACGGGAAGCTATGTCAAGATGGTAGCTCATTTCAAGAAGAGACAGATCCAGATGTAGTTTTTGGAAGAACTATCAGGTAAATGCAGAATTCAGTAGAAATATTGTCTTGTCAACAGAATAAACTGTAATAAATCAGTTAAATAACTACACCATGTCTCAAACTATTTAAAATGAATTTCGTAATTAATTGATTTCATTGATGCACTTACTACGATCTATTTTTTCTAGGAATGTCCATTTTAAAATTATTTCCAACAATATGAATGAAACTTTATTCACGAGTACTAATAGATATATTTTAAACAGGTTTTTTTTTTTCTAAATGGTTATTTTGAGAGAGAAAATTCCTTTTTTTTCCCAAACAACCTGCTACGAATTATCGGAGGTAGGACTTTTTGATACAATCTGAAGAGTGCTCAAAATGATCCTGAAGCCATCCTTTATTTTCGGATAGTGATTCGGAACCAGTACCTTTATTTATATTAATTTAGTTTAAATTGAATTAATTATTAAAAGTAAGTTTATACATATGTCAATTTTTTTTTTTATGAATGAGTTGTTAGAATGTTCATTTCATCATCTGTTTTTTTTTTCTATCAGCTGCTTACACGGTGACATAGTTGCGTCATCACACCTTAAATTATAATTGATTCAAAACAACTTTTCGACGTCAACTCTTTGACGAGTAACAAAAGTTGTAAGTTGTAATTTGTATAAATAAGGATTATACTTACAACCAATTCTATATCTACCATTCTTTCAATTGTCTCTGTTTCAAATTTTAAATGATTTCCAGTTGGATATATAAATATCTGGTAGATATATTTAATATGACTGCATAGAGGAACGGTTGAAGCAATGAGCATAAGGTCATTGGGACAAGCAGGGAAAGTATAACATAATTTTCTCTTACATAATATGCAACTTATCTTCCGTGATCGGACTCCTCTTTCACAATAAAATATGTCTGCCAATCCGCCCGCATTGCTTAACATATAGGTATATTCAATATAACATGTTAATATGAACAGGTTGACAACTAGAGAGTGTAATTCCTACATTGCTTAAGTGAACAATACCAATATCTATTCAAACTACACTTAGTTAGCCATATATTAGAAATTTAATACGGACGAATTACGTTTCGACCTCTTGTATAAGTCTATCATATTATTTAAATATTTCCTGGGAGGATTGGATATGAAACTCAGTTATAAAGCCATACGTCGCGGTTTCATCCGCGTTTAATTTTAATTATAAATACCAATTATGAGAAGAAAATAACACGACTAAATGAATTTGATTAATTGAACCGTATTAAAAATTTATATAAAAAAACAAAATTATACCTTGCCTATAAAAAAAAAAAAAACTTTGTTAATATAAACCAGGGGTGTCCCAACTTTTGGTCTGAGGCCTTCTTTATGTTCTATGGTTTGTGATGACAAAAAATATCGATATATGGACCTTAAAAAACATTAGAAGTCAAACATCGATATTAATGATACAACTGGATAAATATGTATCGTTTTTATTTACATGGTTTAATAATAATTTAGGAACATTTTATAATTGACTTTTTTTTTTTTAACAAGTAATCTAAATTTTTTTTTGTCAATACAAGTCAATTTCATGTTATACCATGTCAGCAGTTTAAAATTCTTAAAAAAAAAAATTAAAACGTAATGAAGAAAAATCAAGTCCAATTTTAATTCTGAAATTTCTATTATAACTTTAATAAAAGACATGGAAAAAGTTTAAAGCCCTACAACAAAAAAAAGATCACTAAATCGGACAGTTTTTACAAAAATATACTCAATTGTAATTTGGCATTTGTTTTGGTCAACTATTTTGAATGGCATGTTATAATCAAAAAAGAGAAATACAATTATTTCTTCCCTCTCGTAATGAATTGCATATATTATATATATTTACATATTTTATTTTCATTTGTTTTCTGATTGGTATACTATGCATGTATGTTTACTTAAAACATTTATGCTAAGCAACATTTTCCAAAAATTGTTACTTGCAATATCAGTGGAGTATGTAAGCCAAGCCATCGATATAAGCCTAGATTTTGATATTCCTGCTTCAATATTGTATATTGTCTTGAGACTGACCCTTCAACCTATTTATCTACCATTCAAGAAGTCTAAAGGTTAATCCATTCGCTTGTGGTACCAACCCTTGGAATGCCTTAAAGATGGTCCCATAAGGCATATGCGGATCTAGGGGGGAGGGAGGGGTTTCGGGCTGAAGTTCTCCCCTCCCCCTCCCCCAAATGGTATAATATAGTCGTCTGACGAAAAAAATATCTCTAAATTTAATATAACTCCAAGACTCACTTCAGCACCATTTCATATATACTTATATTAGAAACTAACTACTTTAGTTTCTTTCTTTTTCTTCCGAAGTAATTATCGTTATTTATATATAAAATCGTTCTCGACATCATCATCAAGTGAGAAAAATGCCTGTCTAGGCCTTCCTCTTTTTCTTCTTCCGTTTGGAGGTGCATCTATCATCAGTTTATAGAGTTCCATTCTTTGAACGTGACCCAACAATCTTATCCTTTCCCTCTTTATGGTGGATACTGGTGCATAATGTAGAGTTCTCTTCATTAATCTACCTTCTCCAATGACTTACTTCTAGTGTTGCCCAAATGCGAGACCGAGACAAGTCTTGATTTTGCAAACTCACTCTTGGTCATGGTCTTGGTCTTGCGCAAGAGTCTCGCAACAGTCTTGCAGTTACTTATTAGCTTATTACTATAGAGATATTACTGTAATCTTTTAGATAGGAGAAACCTAACTAAGCCCGAATGAAAAATTAGAGGAGTTAAATGCAAAAGCATGTTGGTTATACCAATTATTAACATCTAGTAACTAAAATTGTCAAGTATTAGTAAATATTTTGCCTTAATTTTTTATTTAAAAAATCGATTTTTCCTCAGTCCTGGTCTTGGTTTTGCAAAATGCGAGACCAAGACCGATTTTGGGCTACACTACTTGCTCAGTTGGTTGGATCAGAGATTCTGTGAAAGATTTTTCTTTTCCACATGTTCAATAGCCTTTCTTCATGGTCTGTGAGTGTCCGGTACCCCCTTAAACATATAACAATTGGTCGCAATACCGTCTTGTATACTTTTGTTTTGTGAGCTCTTGGCCTCTTCCACCAGTACTGTTCAATTTTATATTTGGTATATTGTATACAATAATTTAATTAATATTATAATTCTAACATAGGTTAATTAATTGATATGGTAATTATATTTAACACTCACCGAGCCATCCCCACCGCCGCCACTGCTGCTTCCTAGAAGACCAGACAGCACTTGGACAGCTCTTTTGTCTCTCCTCAGCAACTCACCCACCTGGAAATAATTTTATTCAATTAGTCTTTATTAAAACATAAATATTTTGATTAGCTTCATATATCCTAAAAAGTGAATTATAGAATATGCAGGAATTCATGTACACTAGAATGTATAGGTAACCATAACAAGACTTTACACACCTATCCAACATTAAATATTTGTTTAAACAATCTCTAAAGGCTGACTCTATGCAAATGAGAGCCGCGACCAGAGGCCTGGGTCGCGTTGCGAAAGACTTGCCTCATCCTATTACCACTGCATCCTCTCGTGATATTTTGGAATTTTAGGCTTTTTTTTTTTTTCTTTCAAGGAAATGTTCAGAAGATTGGGAAACGCTTTTAGGACCAAATCTATCAAGGGGAAGGATTAGAAAAAGTTTGATGTTCTTTGTAAACTAAAAATGGATAAACATTACAGCAATACTCCGTCTGATCTTTTTGCAACAATTGTAATATTTAAATAGACTGAAAAAAATGTCAAAAGAAAGATTTTACGTTCTCGGTTGTTTAAAAAAAAAAATCTTGATGACAAAAATACATTATAAACCACCGAAATGTATATTGAGTCACTTTTTTTTGCTATAAATTTAAACATGCAGCTCTGATTCCCAGTGCTAAAACAATAAGTATAAATCTATAAAATAAAAAAAAAGTACATATGTAATCTTGAAGATATAAAATTAACAATGAATTAAGCGGTAATTAATTATTTCTTTGCATACCCATTAAAAAAAAAAAGTATTTAACGTAAACTTTTAACGTGAACGTTTTCAAAAATTAAGGTAGTAATAGGTGACCTCAAATGCTGCTGACAAGTTTATTTGGATGTTGTTAATTCCCTAACAAAATAATGAGTAATTTAAATTATTTTTTTTAATTTTATAATTATTTTTTTTCTTTTTGGAAAATAGGAAGATATAACTAAACAAATCCATTTGGTTTTTACCTAATTGCAACATTTTAAAAGAGATAAAATATTTTTCAAATCATATGGAATTTGTCTTTGTTAAAATTATTAACAGATAAATGCCCACTTTTTTTTTGTAAGAAATATATATATTTTTTTTTATTTATTTAATTTTTTTTTTTTTTTATTGTCCTCTAACTGGACTACAGATTTTCCACTTTTATGAAAACGTGCTTGAATAATAAACTTCATTTCCATGTTAATTAACTTTAAGTTTTTAACTGAATAAGCTAGAATTCGTATTTTATTCTGTAAAACAATTATTTGAAGATTACCCTTAATACACTATAAAATATGCACCACGCTATCGGAATTGCTTCTAATGATAAAAAGGTACATATCTTTTAAAAATAAACAAAGCTCATTTGAGCTCACAAATGTACCTGGAAACCCATTGGCTCAAACAATAGGGAAATACGGAAAGAGAGCACTAAAACGGTACACACACCAACGGACTAAACACATACTACTAGAATAATATCTTTATTATATACATATATATTTAAATAATTATAATTCAATTTTTATTTTATTATATAAGTCGATTTAATAACACTTTGCGAAGAGAACATGTGTAAGGTTGTAATGTTTCACAAGGATGTGAACATTATTGTGACGCAATGTATAGTAACGATATGTAAATAAATGGTAATTCTTAAAAAAAAATTATGTTCCTTTAATGTAATATATATGTTATTTAAACTAAATTAAGTACAGCTGCTTTTTGAAAAACTATATATTTTTTTCTTTGGCCTGAAATATAAGTTTATAATTTAATTACTAAAATTCCTAACTAAGTATAAACACTCATTATGATATAAACATTAATAATGTTCTTTTCCTCATCCAAACACTCTTGAGGCAGATTTTCATACTTAATAAATTTAAATCAATGTCAATTTACAATCAATATTGAATAATACTTAATTCAATGATATATTTTTGTTAAAATTTGAATATCACGATGGAAAATGTTTTCAAGTGAATCTGGAAATGTTTCGAAACATTTTATTTCAAATTTACGTATTTTTCAATCTCCTTATTAGGCTTAGTTAGTGAGTTCATATTCAGATGTTACAATTGTTATCACGTCGAAGTCCAGTACAATGGCTTCATTAAATTTATCCTTAAGTGACCTCCAATTCTCTATAGCTCCCTAAGGCAAAAGGCCACAAAGTTATATTTGGGTTTTAAAATATTCTAAACTAATAATTTTTCAATTTATTTATTATGAAAAAATTGTTTTTTGAAATTTTTAATAACAAATAAATTGAAAAAATATTAGTTTAGAATATTTTAAAACCCGAATACAACTTAAATAATCGAGCTAATTTAACAGGAAAATGTATTACTTTTGTCTGATTGTTTTTTCTTTTTATATGCAGGAGCCACGTTTAGTTTGATACATCTTGTTCTATAAATGGCTTAAGACGAAAAATATCAGTTTAATATTTCATTGATAATTTATTGTGTAAGAGCAAAGAACAGGTTCGAACGAAATGTCATCTGAAAGGTCGTTGATTTCACTCTAAGGTGAACATATTCAACCAATGAGCTCGTTTTGATTAGCGATTCAATGCAAATAGGGAGCGATTCAATGTTATAATGTATTCACAGTTAGATTTTTATTTATAAAATATGCAGTCCTGTGACAAATGTTATGGTAGGGTCAATGTGCAATAAAATATTAAAATAACCTTAAATTTCTCCTAGGTATTTTGGTTCAAGGTGATAGAATTTCTTTGGCATTTGACTTTTTACTTGTACTCGAAAACTCTATGAAAGTATTCATGCCAAAGTGGCTTATGAATACTTTATAAATGGTTAATTTATTTGTCAGAGATAATTTTGAAGTCATCTCTAGAGATTCAGTATCGTTGCTTCAGTTTTTTTCCTAAGTATCGTACCATGTTAGAATGAGATATAGAAAAGTATTCTTGAAAAACACCTGAGAACATGAGTCGTGTCCAGGCATAAATCTGACGAATCTACTCTTTCATTCATTTTTATCTTCTATCTTCTGGTCCAGAAAGCTCTAGAACACGGGTGTCTTGAGAGTGCTTGGGAATTTTTAGGGACATGTTGAATGTCAAAATAGAACTCAAAACCTAATTTACACGTTAAATTTAAAAAGATAATTTAACATAATATAAATCATCTAAATATACATTATTTTAATAGAAAACAATGAGGCTTTGATTCAGCATCGCAGCTCATGATGTTACTACACCTTCTACATATATCAGAGCTATCATGACGTAAGAATGAACCCTCGAAGTTGACTCACCAGTAATACAATGCATCACTTGTACCTGAACAGTCAAATAACACTTCAGTAGCTCAATTCGAAAGAATGACTAGAGACATTCGTGCAACATCATCCGAATATACGTACTACACTGTGTGAAGCTAGGAACAGACATAAATCGGAATTTCTGGCAGGAGTAAAAACCATTTACACGGTGACTGTTTTCTGTAATGTTGGCATTGTCACAGCAGTTGAGATCATGGGGCTGCAAGGCAGTATCCTTTTATACAAGATAAGCAAATCTGGTGATTGTTTAAAAAAAATGGCGTGTTTAGAACAGCTGACTGAAAACTACATTAAACAAACAGCTGATGTTATGACTATTTTAACAAAGGCAACTAATTAAAAAAAAATGAACTTAGAAACATAACTTCGTTAATCAATTTACTGTTACATAAACCAATTAAAACTAAAATAAACCTATAATAAAAAAAATATGCATTCGTTAATGCATAATTCGTTAAATAATGCATTAGTCCTCGAAAAATTGAATAACACAAAAAAATAAGAATCTATTTTAAGTTTAGAAATATTTGAAACAAAATATGTATAAGAAAATTTTAGAAATGTTATAACCTTAACATTTACTATTAACTATCACGTAAAACCTACCATTGTTACAATACTGCTATGACAGTAAATGTTGCTATGACGACAACGGTCATACATTTTACACCAGAAGTCACCCAACTTTTTTTTTATTTTAGTGAACATTTATAGGTTAATATTTGAGCAGCAACCACCACTTTTTTTGTGTTTTTCCTATAATTTATCCCTATAAAAATTTTACCCGCACTTGACGTTACTTGAGCCCTTTATTAGGGACTCGTAGTTTATACCATAGTAAATGAACTGTCTCCATGTCGACAGTATCTTTAAGAGCACAAGATGATTACCAAGTGGAATAGTCCGTGATACATACCCTTTTTATCAAATTATTAACATGAGCTTGAAATTCATGAATAGCTTCATGTTATCGTAATCTACAACTATTTTAATTGTGAAAATTCTCGTAATTGAGGAGTTTTCAATCTGGAGATCGGCAAACTTTGTCAATCTAATTTGGTACTGAAACTCCTAAATACCCATTTGCTTTCCACTAGAATCGTAAGATAATGTAATCATAGTGATCATATTATCTTATGATTCAAGTAAAAGGAAATGGGTATTTACGAGTTTTTAATACCTAATTTAATAGACAAAGTTTGACGATCTCCAGATTGAAAATACCCTAATACCGAGATTTTTCATAAATAAAATTGTTGTAGGTTACGATGAGAAGAAGCTATTCATGAAGTTTCTGGCGAATGCTAATAATTTGATAAAAAAAAGTGTCTGTACCACGAACAAGAAATAAATCAAAGCAATAAACCATTTTAAGACTTTCCATTACCACTCTATATAATAAGGATTTAGGAGGTACGAGTTTAATGTATTCCTTTGGAATAGTAATCTAACTGTAAGCGATAGATTTATCGAACCCATTTAACATCTCTATAAAGTATAAAAAGCCAGTAGGTAACTCTTGTGTGTAATAAGTTGTCCGTCAAGCTTGCATGAAAGCAGCCTTGAGGAAACTAGACCACTTCATCATCATTAAAGCGACAGCTCCATATGTCTCAGGAGGCTAAATAAACCAAATTTTAGATATCAAATTTCGATTATATATGGTTTAATTAAATTATCTTAAAATCTGTAGTTTAACTTTCGCTTTTTTTTATTT